TTCTAAGAAGGAAGTTTGTAGTGATAATTCCTATATAAAGAAAAAAGAAAGATCTCAAATAACTTAACTTTACACTTAAGGAATTGGAAGAACAACAAACCTGAGCTCAAAGTTAGCAGAAAGAAGAAATTAATAAAGACCAGAGCAGAAATGAATGAAATAGAGACTAGGTGGGGGGGAAAACCCATAAAACTAAGAGCTGGTTTTTTGAAAAAATGAATAAAACTAAAAAACTTGCAGTCAGATAACTAAGGAAAAAAGAGAGAAGATACAAAATCAGAAATGAAGGAGGAGACATTACAACTGATAACACAAAAATACTACAGATCACAGGAAACTACTATGAACAATTAATCACCAACAAATTAGATAACCTAGAACAGGGGTCCCCAACCCCCCAGGCTGCAGAGCAATACTGGTCCGTGGCCTATTAAGAACTGAGCCGCACAGCAGGAGGTGAGCAGCAGGAAAGCAAGGAAAGCTCCATCTGTATTTGCAGCCACTCCCCAGCGCTAGCATCACCGCCTCAGCTCCACCTCAGATCATCAGGCATTAGATTCTCATAGGAGCACTCATCCCAGGAGCCAAAAAGGTTAGGGACCACTGACCTAGAAGAAACATATAAATTTTTAGAAACATACAACCTATCAAGACCGAATCATGAAGAAACATAAAATCTGAACAGAATAATTACTAGTAAGGAGGTTGAATCAGTAATCAAAAATCTCCCAAGAAAGAAAAATTCAGGACCATATGGCATAACAGGTGTGTTTTACTGAAGATTTAAAAATCCTCAAACTCTTCTCAAAAATTGAAGAAGAGGGAGCACTTCTGAACTCATTTTAGGAGGCCAGCATTATCCTCATACCAAAGCTAAATAGAAACAATAGAAGAAAAAAAATTATAAACCAATATCTTTGATAAACATAGATTTAAAAAAATGAAAATAAACTCATAGATACAGAGAATATTTTGAAGGCTACTAGATGGGAGGGGGTGAGAGGGATGGCAAAAACGGGCAAGGAGATTAAGAAGTACAAATGGATAGTTACAAATAGACTTGGAGATATAAAGTGTAGCATAGGAAAATAATTTATAATGTGATAAATATGTAAGAGGGAAGAGGGGTACTAGATTTAGTGGGGTGATCATTTTATGAGTTATATAGATCTCTAATTACTATGCTGTACAATGGAAACTAATATGTCATTGTATGCCAACTATAATTTTAAAAAATTCATTGAATTGTACTATGTAAATACAAGCAACTAATTGTCTATTATATTTTAATAAAGCCAGAAAAACAAACAAACAAACAAAGAATTCTATACCATGAGCAAGCGGGATTTATTCCTAGGATTGAAGGATGGCTCAACATAGGCAAATCAATCAATACGATACACCAACTTAACAAAATGAAGAATATAAATCATATTATCATATCAATAGATTCAGAAAAAGCATTTGACAAAATCCAGCATCCTTTCATGATAAAAACTCTCAACAAATTAGGTAAAGAAAAAATGTACCTCATCATAATAAAAACCACATATGACAAGCCCACCACTAACATTATACTCAACATTGAAAGAGTAAAAGCTTTTTCTCTAAGATCAGGAGCAGAATAAGCATGCTCACTCTCACCATTTTTACTCAACATAATAAGAAGTCCTAGACAGAACAATTAGGAAAGGAAAAGAAATACAATGCAAGTAAATCAGAAAGAAAGAAGTAAAATTATCTCTGTTTGCAGATGACATGATCTTAAATATAGAAAACTCTAAAGATTTTGCTAAAAAAAATTTTAGAATAAGCAAATTCAGTAAAGTTGTAGATACAAAATCAACACAAAAAAACAGTTGTCTTCCTATGCATGAAAAACAAACTACTCAAAAAAGAAATTAAAAACAATCCCATTTATAATAGCATCAGGAAGAATAAAATGCTTAGAAATATATTTACCCAAGGAAGTGAAAGACCTGTATACTGAAAACTTAAGACACTGATGACAGAAATTGAAGAAGACACAAGTAAAGGGAAAGATATCCTGTGTTCACAGATTGAAAGAATTAATATTCTTAAAATATCCATACTACTCAAAGCAATCTACAGATTCAATGCAATTCCTGTCAAAATTCCAGTGGTATTTTTATAGAAATAGAAAAACAATCCCAAAATCCATATGAACACACAAAAGATCCTGAATAGCTAAAGCAATCTTGAGCAAGAAGAACAAAGCTAGAGGTTTCTCATTTGTTGACTTCAAATAATATTACAAAGCTATAGTAACCAAAACAGTATGGTACTGACAGGAAAAAAAAAAAACAACAACAAACAAACATACAGACCAATGAAACAGGGTAAAGAGCCCAGAAATAAGCTCATGTATATACAGTCAACTAAATTTCAGTAAAGACACTAAATATACAATGGAAAAAGGAATGTTTTTTCAATAAATAGCATTGGGAAAACTAGATATCCACATGCAAAAGAATGAAATTGAACTCTATCTTATACCATACACAAAAGTAAACTCAAAACACATTAAAGACTTAAATGTGAGCCCTGAAATTGTAAAACTCCTAGAAGAAAACAAGGAGTAAGTTCCTTCACATTTACCTTGGCAATAATTTTTTTTGGATATGACACCAAAAGCAAAAATAAACAGGTAGTCCTAAATAAAACTAAAATATTTCTGCACAGAAAAGGAAACAATCAACAAAAGCAAAAGGCACCCTACAGTTAGGAGAAAATATTTTCAAACCACATATACAATAAAGGGTTAATATCCAAAATATATAAGGAACTGATGCTAGCCAATAGAAAAAAAAAAATAACCCAATTAAAAAATGGGCAAATGACCAGAATAGATATTTTTTCATAAAAGACATACAGCTTGCCCATAAAAACATGAAAAAGTCCTCAACATATTTAATCACCAAGGAAATGCAAATCAAAACCACGGTGAGAAATCACCTCACACTTGTTAGTATGACTATTATCAAAAAGACAAAAGATAACAAGTATTGGTAAGAATGTGAAGAAATTGGAACCCTAATGTACTGCTTGTGCAAATGTAAAAATGCAAAATGGGGCAGTGGCTTTAGATAACAGTATAGCAGTTCCTCAAAATGTTAAACAGAGTCACCATATGACCCAGAAATTCCAATCCTAGGTAGATACCCAAACGAACTGAAAATATATGTTCACACAAAAACATACAAATGTTCAGAGCAACATTATTCCTAATAGCCAAAAAGTGGAAACAACCCAAAGACCTATCAACGTATAAATGGATAAACAAAAACGTGGTATATACATATATTAGAATTTCATTCAGCCATACAAAGGAAGTGCTGATACATAACGGACCTCAAAAACATGCTAAATGAAAGAAGTCAGACACAAAAGGCCACATAATATCTGATTTGGATACAAAATATCCAAAATAGGTAAATCCCATAGGGATTCGTGGTTTTCAGCGATGTGGCGGGAGATGGAGTAACCAGCGGGTACATGGGGGTTTTACGGTAATGAAATGTTCAGGAATTATGAAGTGGTGATGGTTGCACGACTTTATAAGTATACTAAAAACCACTGAATTGTACACTTTAAAGTGATGAATTTTTCGTTTTGTGAACTGTATTTCAATTTTTTTTAAGTCTGTTTAATAAATCCAACATATGGTTAAGTAAAGCTGAGGACCAGAGGGCTAGCCAGCACACCTCTGTTCTCCCTGCTGTGGCATTGGTTCCAATCACCTCTGAAAGTGAACCATTGCAACAGTCCCCTCCTCTCACTCCCAAATCCAGCCTGAAACTCATCGCCCACCTTTAGAATTTTCCCACGTGCCTTTTTATTTTCTGTATCTTTTGACGTTTTGACATCTGGGGCCCTGCTGATCCTAGGAGGGGCACCTTCCAGAGCTAGACAACTCTTAAAGATTAAAATGTAAAAGACTCTTCTGCAAGGGTGCCTTTCACATACAAACCAACCAATCCAAAGCCCATATTCCAACTACCTTCTTTACCTAGTTCTTATATTGTGGGTCACTATCCATCTGCCCTCATCGCTCCAGGGCCAGGTATCAACTAGAGACAGCCTCTGTATCCCAAAGCCTGCTGAAGTTATTCAAAACAACCAAGCCTAAACCTGCTTACCCTCCTTAACTTACCTTTCCCACAAAAACCATAAGGAAGCTTTGCTCACGTTTTCCCTTCACTCCTCTGCCTCCTGACTGACCCTGATGCTTCCCCATGTGGCCTTGTGTGGCATGCCATGCTCTCTGTTTCTAGAAATCCGGGAGTAAAAACTTCCTGCAAGACAGTCATTCCCATGTCTGCAAGTCTTACCATACCTGATTAAAACAAGTCTGAGTACATATTAAACACCCCCCTTCCAACCTGGTTTCACCATCCCTTTCCCATCTACCTCTCACCACCTCTGACACTCTCCAAACTTTATAGTCAACCCATGCATCTCCAGTTTCTTAAGCATAGCACATCCTTTGTCATGCCTTTACACATTCTGGGTACTCCATCTACAGTGCCCTCTCCAGCCTCTTGGCCTCAGTTAATCCCATGCCACCATAAAACTTCACTTTACAATGCTGTATGGACATTCTCCCCTAAAGCCCTTAGCCTGTGTGTCTATCCCCTGCCTGTCTGGTGAGTTCCTCCAAGATAAGCACCATAATTCCTCACCTCTGGATTCCCAAGGTTTAGTGCAGAGCCAGAAAATTACTGGTAACTCAAGAAATGTCAGGTTTTCTTTTATTAGTGTAAGAAATCTCCCCTACTTGCATCTAAGCTCCTTGAAGGTTGAGCCCCTACTTTCTGGGTCCTTTGTAGGACCACACACACACACAGTTGGCCCTGGGTAAAGGCTTCTGGGCTGAGTGAGCGAACTGGAATGATGACTGAGCAAATAAACGAGTGAGAGGAGGATGGGTGGGGAAGGCGAGCTGGTCTCCTGGGCCCTGAGAAGCAAGCTCTACTCACACTGTTCTTCCCACTCGCGCTCCTCCTTCTCACTGGCCTGGTTCTGTAGCTGGGCCTGCTTCAGGGTCCAGTAGAGTTCCTTCGCCCTCTGTTCTTCCTGGAGGCGAATCTGCTCTTCTCCTCGCTTCCTTTCCTCTTCCTCTTTTCTCTAAAATATTGTGGGGACAGAATAACGTTAGGTGACAGTGACACTTCACGAGGGAAAAGTATCTCTGGGATTCTGTGGAAGGGCAGGGCTGAGCTCTCTCAGAGTGGGGTGGGACATCAGTGGACACTTCCATCTCAGTCACTACACACGTGAAACAGCAATAGTTACATGTAATCAAGCGGTGGGAAAGCTCAAACGTGTTGAAATGTGTGGAATAACTTGTAAACTCTGAGGTGTTCTGTAAAGATAAGAAGACTCTGAGCCATCCTTGGCCACACTTCCATTCTGGGAAGAAGAGGGAGGGTAGGTGTGTATGTGAGGGCAGAGGGGTGTTCCTGGTCTCCCTGGAGGTCAATTTAGCAGGATGTGATGTCTTAACCTTATGTCCAGATAAGATATTTCTAAGAGAGAGCAGGTTTGAGGGCCCCAGATATCCTATTTTTGACCCATTTTTAAGCTCCATAAAGGTCATATATGTGTATTTTCCCATGCCTTTGTTTACATTGAAGTAGCATGCACATATTAAACATGGATTACAAAAGACTTACAAAAAACAACAATTTCCAAACTACTTTATCCACACCAACCCAGCTCTAGTCTTTGCCCAAAGGCCACCATTTTCAATTATGTTAGCTGTTCCTTCATCTGGGTCTATGTCTAAATAATGCTTGTAATTCTTGATTTATTAATTCTAGACATTAAGTACTGCTTTTATTTTTTGATACATGAGCACTTATACCTCCTACGCAAGTAAACACCCGTACTTTTCCTCTTCATCCGCACAATAAGTTTACATCACAATTTGTAGTTAAATCAGTAATCGGTGTAAATATAGTTCACTGCAAAGCCAGATAGGGTACTATGTCCACCATTTCCAAGAAGTACCTTTTTTAACTTTCTAACATAATCTCTGAAATGTAGGTGGGTCTCACAACTTACAACTTGCCTTTTCGATAGACAACAGTATTTTTCTTTCTTCTTAAAAAAATGATACATTTTACAATTAATGGCCTCTTAAATTCAATAAAATATGGTAGTATGATGGCTTTTTCTTTCAAATTTTTTTTTGCTTTTTCCCGAGTTAATAATTGTTTTATCTTGAAATTGAATATTGACTTTTCCCAAACTTCAATATCTGTAGTAAATCTTTCTCTGTGTTTAACCAGGTGCTTTTTATGATAACAGATAAAACAGCAGTTATCTTTTTCCAAGAGATGCCTCACCACCAGATACCATCTTTTCTTCTTCATCGATCTCAACTGGTTGCTATCTATGTATCCTGTCCATTCATCCACCCAAGACTCACCTCTCAGCCTTCCTTGAGTTGAAGTCCTTGTTTCTTTGTTCCAAGTTTTTTCAGTTACTTCCTCATTTTGCAGCAACATAGCTTACAGTACTTCTCAGGTAAGGATGCACAGAGAGACACTTTCTGAGTCTTGTCTGAAAACATCTCTGTGCTACCCTTACACATAACTACTAATTTAGCTGAATATAGAATTTGATTAAAAATCAAATTTTCCTGCAGAATTTAAACTTTGATTCCTTGTCTTCTAGCATCCACTGCTGCCAGTAGGATTCTCATTCTTCTGCATAAGGCATTAATTTTTCTCTTTATCACTGATGTTCTGAACTTTTTAAAATAATGTGCCTTAGTGTGGATTTTCTTCCATTGATTGTTTTCAGCACTCGGAGTGCTTTTGATCTAGAACCTCAGGTCTTTCCAGCCTAATGCACCTTGGTTTAAGATTTCTTTAATAATTTCTTCTTTAATTTCTCTTTTTGCTTTCTGAACTCCTGTTTGTCAAATACTGAACTTCTTGAATTGATTCTCTAAGACCCTTACCATTTCTCTTTTTTTTCTATCTCTTGTCTTTTTTTGTTCTATTTCCTGTTTGATTTCACTGACTTTATTGTCCAAACCTTCTGCTGAATTTTTTATTTCAGCTATTGCATTTGTAATTCCCAAGTCCTCTTTCTTATTCTTTGATTGTTCCTTTTTGTTTTATTGCACCATGTACTTGTTTTCATGAAAGCAACAGCTCATCTCTAAGAGTTTTAGAAGTTTTTCTTCCCCATATTCTGATTTAGGTCTATTTCCTCTGCTTTTTTGCTTGTATTTGGTTTTAGTTTATTTTATTTGGTGCCTGTCATTTATATTGGAGACTTTCCTCAGATGTCTGATGTTCTCTGTGTTCATATTCAAGAGAGAAAATAAGTATCTGAATGGGAGACTCAGAACATGTAGACAGGGCTTCCTTAAGAGGTGAGATTTACTCTAGGATGATAGGCTGAGGAACCAGCCATTTCACTGAGGAGCACTCAGGTGTAAGAATCTAGAGGTCCTCTTTCTGAGGTCTTCTCCTCTATCCTACCTGGGTGGTGTGTAACCACCAACGTTTCAGGAGTCTGTGGCAGAGGCAGGCTGCAGGTGTGACAGGCCTTAAACTCAAGCAAAGAGAACCCCTTCATGGCAACACCATGCTTTGAAGTGACTTTCTTGCACATTTCCCCCTCAAGTCCCTTAATAATGGCCAGAACGAGTCCTCCCAGGACTGCTGGGGCAGCAGTTCTATCCTGGTAGGATGTCCCAAGCGTAGACCAGGTCCCACATGAGCCTTAGTCCTTGTTTCTTCCCTTCAGGGTGCTCTCTGACCCTCTCCTCCATGCAAGTTGTTAACCAAACACCCCAGGAAACTCTAGGACTCACACGTATGGGATCTTCCTGCGATCCAGTGGCCAAGCCTTGGTTCCAGAAGGGTGGCCTAGCAAGCAGATGAATCCTACTGGCCAGCACAGCATTTTTATCACAGTTTCACATTAGATTGAGTCACCAGAATGGAATTACAGGTTGATTTTACGTGGCTCAAATTGTGAATTTGTTATAGACAAAAATACCACACAAAAATATTTGCTGGCCTTGTGCACCCTAGGGCCAACCCCGGCTGCAGGTCCCACTGTTTATAGTTCAGACCTTTACTTACTCCCCCTGTTTCCCAACTGCCCCTCCCTTGCTCTTTCCACTCGTCCTGATTCGCTGAGCCCAAAACTCTTCCCCTTCAATTTCCCATCTCCTTCTGGTCAGAAGGAGGATGCAGTAGCCTAGAATAAACAGGTGACACTGGGACATTTGGATCTAGCCACTCCACGTAGTAACTTGTCGTCTATCGCCAATCTCAGCTCCACCCTTCACAGTCCTGAGCCTGTGGGGGTTCTGGACTGAGCTGGCTCACTGCATCAGTCCTTTTCTGCAGGTGCCTCACTTTCCCTCTGTCTTCCAGCTGTCAAACTTTCGTGGAAATTTTCTCATCTAGTCTTCTCTCCTCTCGTTTTCTCCTCCTTATTGTTTACAACTTTTTCAGTTTTTTGCCGCTATTTTAATGGATCAACAACAACAACAAAGAGATAACTAAGTTCTGAATCCCTCGTTAAAAAAAAAAAAAGAAAAAAAGACGAGGTTTTTGTTTTGTTTTGTTTTGTTTTGTTTGAAATGGCACAGATTAAAAACTTTTCTCCATTCAATGATCAATTGTTTTAAATCTAAAAAATAGACAAAATCCAACTTCCTAATGACTCATTCTTTAAGAGAGGGGAATTGAGGGTTACAGAAGTTATGTGCCCTCATCCAGTTATTCACCAAATACTTATTGAGCATTTGGAGGCTCAGCTTGTTCTATGCACTGGGAATATAGCAGCGGGCAAGACAGACATAGGCTCCACTCTCTTAGAGCTTGCATTCCAGTGGGCAAAAATGCTAAACAAGTGAAAATCAGAAAATAATAAACAGTGTACAGAGAATTAAAACAAGGTAAGTGATAGAGAGAATCTAGGAGGCTCTTTTAGGCTATGTGACCAGAATTTCTCTCAGAAAGAGTGACGTGATCTAAGATTTGAACAATAAGAAGAAGGCCAATAAGTGAAGATCAGGGAGAATAAAATTCCAGGCAGAGGGAACCACAAATGCAATAGCCCCAGAACTGCAAATGGGTTTGGCATGTTTGAGTATAGAATTATCCACTGTGGCTGGAGGGGGAAAAAAAAGTAAAAATTCTATTTTTGATGATTTTGAGATGCCATTGGACACCCAAGAGGCCTGCTATTAGCAGTAGGTTGTATGAGCTTGTGGCTTAAGGGCAAGCTCAGGTTGAAGATACTGACTGAGATGTCATCTGAATAAGGATGATGTTTCTCAGCCATGGAACTTAATGTTGTCTCTGAGAATAAGGACGTAGATCAAGAAAAAACACCCAGAGTGTCTTGGGACACTCCACCATTTAAAAGTTGAGAGAAAGAGTCAGAGTCAGAAAAGGAGCTTGAGAAGGAAGCCAGTGGGTAAGATAAAAACCCAGAAGGTGCGATGTCTGTAGGAGATGCCAAAAGAAGGAAGTATTTCAAGTAAAAGAGAATAAACTGAGCTGCAGGCCACTGAGACATTACAAAAGATAAGCACAAAGAAGCCACAAGAGATTGAGGGACATGGCCACAGGACCTGGAGGCAGAGCTTGAAAAGAGTAGCCCTAACGGAGGGGCAGCTGTGTAGGCAGTGAGGGAGGAGAGTGGAAGTAACTCCAGACAACCCTTCCAACATTTCCTATGAAAAGGAGCAGAGACAGAAAGTGGCAGCCAGGCGGGGAATGTGATGTTAAGATAGAAATAAGGTAAGTTGGTTGGTTTTAAGATGGGAAATACTAGAACAGAGAGTTAATGACTAAAGCAAATTTGGAACCAAAGTTTGCCTGACTCTAAAGCCAAATAAGTTGAGTTTTACCCCAAAGCTGTATTTCATCTTCATCAGTCACTAGCATCTCAATAGCACAAAATGACCCTTCACACTGTTACAGCACTTCACAGTTTACACAGTGGGTTTTCCATTCCTCCTCCAGGACTCCCTAATTTCTGATCACAATCACTGCATCACAGGGCCCAACGAAGACAGCATCCACCCAGTCACTTCAGACCTGTCACGTGACCACAGGAGTCTTCCAGGCAGAGCCAGTTTTCAG